CAAAAAAAAAAAAAGAAACAGGGGGCAGAGGAGGGCAGAATTTCAATGACCATCACCTGATGAGCAGAGAACAAAGTACAGTCTATCCAACCACGGTCAGGCACACTTAAACCAGTCATGTTATAGGAGACCCCTACGTTCAGGAAAAGACTTGGTTCTCGGACAACGTGCTCTCAGCAGCGGCACGAACCACTCAGTTTCTCCCGTTTGCCCTTCCTCTGCGCCGCACCCTCCACCCCAAGATTTGATTTTTCTCTCTGGAGTGGGCAAACAACACAGGAATCCTCTCCCTTGACCACCATCCAGATCAGAAATAAATGCTCCTGGAAACTGACTGGGCAGATTACGTCAAGTTGGAACAAAGGGAAGGCAAGAGGGACTGTGACCCAACAAGGAGGAGACCACCAGTGTCTGATCAAAGCCTTTTCTCACTCCACTTCCTGACCCGTCTTCTCTCCCGAACTCCTTTCCCACTTTGAATAATTTACTTCCCTGCCCAGGTAACACATGAACATGTTTCAAGGGGAATAAGGTACGGAAGAATTTTCGAAGGAAATTAAGTCTCACTCCTGCCACTGTCTTGGAGGCAGTCACAGTGACCAGTCCCTTCTGCACCATTCTAGGAATAAACTGTGTGTGCACATGCTCATATCAATTTTTTTTTAAATCACACAAACAGGAACATACCATACACAATGCATCAAACCTTGCATCTTCACTTAGCAAGAATGGTCTTTGAGACCATTTCATGTCAATGTACAAAGAGGTTCCTAATTATTCGTGGGTTGTAGTATTCCATCACGTGGATCTGCCGTTGTCGAGTCAATCACCCTCTCTTAATTAGAGGCACTCCCTTCAGCCCTTTGCCGTTGTAAATCACGCTGTAGTAACTTTGTGCACACGTGGGAGTGCACCAGTAAGATAAATGTCTAAAAGTGGAATTGCTGATCAGTTGTATATTTATTTTTTATCCTGGCCGATATAGTCAAATTGCTCTTCATAGAGGTCGTAACAATATTCACACCAAAGGACGTTTAATGACAATTCCTTGTCTTTATGTCCCCTCCAAAGAAAGTATAGTCTTCAAAGCCTTTCTCCTTGCAATATGACCACTAAAAATGTGATCTCACTTGAATGATCTATGTTTCTCTTATTAAGCATATTTTCTTATATGTAAGTGCTATTTATGTTTCTCTTTTCTGTGAATTTTTTGTTTATTGAACAATATGTATTGTTCACCCTCTAGTGAGCTTAGGGCTCTGCATACAGTAATATAAAATGTGCTCTTCATCGTGTGTATTGTAAATATTTTTATCGACTGCTACTTATATTTTTATTTTATTTAAGGTTATATTTATCAAGCAGAAGACAAATATATTAGTTTTTTTTAAAATGACTTTAAAGGTTTTGTGTCCTGCTTAGGAAGATATTCCTGATTCTGAAATTATCAAACACATTTTTTCTGGCCGGGTGCAGTGGCCCACGCCTGTAATCCCAGCACTTTTGGAGGCGGAGGTAAGAAGATCGTCTAAGCTCAGAGGTTTGAGACCAGCCTAGGCAACTTGGCAACACTTCATCTCTACAATAAATCAAAAAATTAGCTGGGCATGGTGACACGCACCTGTGGCTCTAGCTACTTGGAAAGCTAAGGTGGAAGGATCACCTGAGCCCAGTAGGTCAAGGCTGTGGTGGCCGTGAGCATGCCACTGCACTCCAGCCTGGGTGATGGAGTGAAACTCCAACTTAAAAAAAAAACAAAAACTTTCTGTACTTTAATGATTCTCTTTTTACATTTAAATCTTTGCTCCTTTTGGAATTTATTTTGCTTAGTTACATATAGGGATAAAACCATACATCAAACTTTATGATTATTATAAAATATCATCCAATTATTCCAACACCATGTTTTCTCTAATGATTTAAAGTGCTGCTTGACTCATTTTTATTTTTTATTCACATATGTGTTTGGATCTACTTCGGGTCTTAATTTTGTTTTCTGTTCTGTAGCCAACTTTCAGTTGTGTAGTTTTATTTCTCACTTAGCCTTTACAAGTGGTGTAGCTTTATTTCTCACTTAGCCTTTATAAACAATCCTAAGTTTGATTTCTCCTACACCATTACTCCTGTGCTCAACTGTCAACAATCGCAATCCTGTGACTGCCTCTACATCCCACGCACAGGGAAAGAGACCCCAGTCCAGAGAGGTTCCTGATGTGTTAGCACCGCCCAGAGCTGACACCAGACTCTCTCCTGGCCCCTGCTCCAGGCTCTTTCATGCAAACTCACTGTGTCCCCTTCACTCCGTCCAACACGGCAGTTTAAAAACTGAATTGTCCAATAACCTACAGCAAGGCTTCCAGGACTAGTGATCTGGGGTAAGGTGAAGTCTTTTAGGGCTTTTAATATAAAGTAGTTCATGGTTTCGTTGAATAATAATCATGATAATATTTTTTCTTTTACTATAAGTCCTGGGCATTATTCCCAGAACTTTCCATGCATTATTTAAATTGATGCTCACTCCAACTCTATGACATAATCATTCATTCTCTCCTTACATTACAGATGAGGGGATTGGAACTATGGAGATTAAATAATTTCCCCACGTTCACAAGGCTAAGAGGCTGTCGCCACCAGTCTTTTTTACCTTTGGGATGGTTTGTTCTCCTTGCCTTTTAACTGTCTTTTATTCATCCACTCCATGTTTATTTACTGAGAACCCATGACAGGGGAAAACTTGTGAAAACCCAACTTCCTGGTGTGGCATTACCCACCAGCTGACATGACAGGGAAAATGCACTGGGGATGGGGTGGTTTATCGTGTTCCTGTAGGCCAGGTTGCCCCCTCACTTACTCTCACACTGCATGGTAACAGCCATTCATGCAGGGTCTCCTTGTGTGTCAGTGCTGACCTTATTAAATCAGCAATCACTTGGCATCATATACCCAACAAGACACAATCCTTGTCTCAGGAGTCTTGGAGTCTATTCGGAAAGAAAACACGTGCATAGCATCACACACTATTTTATTTTATTTATTTATTTATTTGTTTTTGAGTTGGAGTCTCACTCCGTCGCCCAGGCTGGAGCGCAGTGGCACACTCATGGCCACCCCAGCATCGACCTGTTGGGTTCAGGCCATCCTTCCATCTCTGCCTTCCAAGTAGCCAGAACTACAGGCGCACGCTGCTGTGTCTGGCTAATTTCTTGATTTATTGTAGAGATGAGGTCTCACCAAGTTGCCCAGGCCGGTCTCGAACCCATGGGCTTAGGCAATCCTCTCACCTCGGCCTCCCAAAGTGCTGGGATGACAGGCTTGAGCCACCACGCCCAGCCAACCACACACTATTGTAAATGCTGTCAGAAGGTCTACTCGAAGGATCCTGGGAGTCTGGGGGCCTGAGAAGCTGGCTTCTTATGGTCTGGTCACCAAGAGGCCCGGGCCCATCCACACTGCCAGCAAGGCAGGAAGCTCATAGTATGATTCCTTTACAGAAGGTCAGAGGATACCTCTGGCACAGGTGGGCAGCCCTTGAGTGGGGTTTTATATAGCCGATGGTCTCAATCAACAGGAAGGAGTCAGAAATTATACTCCACCAGTTTCTCATCCTGTATTTCTTTTAGAAATTAGATCCCAGGTCTCTGGCTCTCAGCTCACTCATTCTTCCTCTAGATCCTACCTTGCTGCTTCCTCTCAAGAGACAGAAATCCCTGTGGACTTCCTCAGAGCGGCAACCCAGGCAGGCTGGGAAGGAAAATGCCCTCTTTTCTAGAAAGAAGAGAGGATTTGGGTGATTTACTGGGAATGAACTTGTTGATGTGTAACGGGAAGTCCACAGCACTCATTTTCTGAACAGGTGACCACCATACATGCCCCTACTAAATTAGTACCGAAGGGGACCATTTACTGTGGGCCCCAGGCTCCCTGGTACCATCTTCCACATTGGGAAACAGGTTCTTTTCCCAAAATTCACTGCTCCTTAATATCTCTGCTCCTGCATGTCCCTGGAGAACTATGACATGCCAGGAAGTATCAGACATCTTCTGGGCTCCAAGTCAAAACTGAGAATGGGTCTCAGAGGGATAGCAAACTTGGGACTTAAGCTGGGAAAGACAGACTGGGGACCCAAAAGCAGGAAGAAGAGACAGACAGTATGGGAAAAGACTTAAGAGATCATCTGGGCCGGGCTCTATGGCTCAGCCTGTAATCCCAGTACTTTGGGAGGCCGAGGCGAGACGATTGCCTGAGCCCACAGGTTTGAGACCAGCCCTGGCAACTTGGCGAGACCTCGTCTCTACAAGAAATCAAAAACTAGCTGGCGTGGTAACGTCAGTAGGTCGAGGCTGTGGTGACCGGGAGCGTGCCACTGCACTCCAGTCTGGGTGATGGAGTGAGACTCCAAATCAAAAAAAACAAAAAAGATCATCTGTCTCTCCTCCCCCTCCACTAACCACCTCACTCCTTCTTCCCCCCACCACACACAGTTTACAGAAACAGGAGCTGAGACTGAGAGGAGAGGAACCTGCCCAAGGCCACACAACCAGGAGGCAGAAAAGTCACCAAATAGAACCCCGAACTCTCATTCTGCTCCTCAAGCCCACCTCCCACGGTGGACTGGAGAGCGCAGCTTATTGCATGCTTTCCTGGTTCTTTCCCTGAGTAGAATAAGCTCTTATCTAGGGATGCTAGAACATGCCCTAAACTGGAAGTCAGGAGACCTGTACAGTACAACCTCGGCTCCCACCATGTGGGACCATCCATCTGTGTCCCTGGGCCTTGAATTCCTCATGGCAAAGGAGGGAAGGTGAGAGGGACCCAGGAGAGCTCTGCCATCTCTTCCAGGTATAACCTTGCTTCTTCCTGTCCACCTAGAACGGCTCAGATCTCGTGGTGTTTGTCTTATGAAGGACAGGGAAAGGACCCCCAGCTGGGAGGCTAACCATAAGCTGGCATCTGCAACTCACCTCGTGTGTAACTAAGCCTCTGCTCACTCTCTTTCACAGCCCAGCTTCCAAGAAGAGTGCAAGTTCAGAGAAACCCTCCTGCCCAACAATTACAACGCCTACGAGTCAGACTTGTACCGAGGGACCTACATCGCACTGAGCAAATACGGACGGGTCAAGCGGGGCAGCAAGGTGTCCCCAATCATGACTGTCACTCACTTCCTTCCCAGGATATAAGGACCCATGGCAGGAGGCTCACAGGTTAAAAGCAGCATCCCTTCTAGTGGAATTCTGCACACGCGAACGATTCCCCTTGCCCTCCATGGCTTCTGAGTCAGGCTTATCTTGTGCTAGAGAGATCTGAGTTGGTCCCCTCCACCCCTGGACCCCGTGGCATGTCGCCCACCCAAGTGAAGGTTGCAGCCGGCATCTTAGGGTGGCAATGGATCTCGTGCTCTGACCTCCCCCGAGGAAAGACGGGATGGGTGATGCTTATGGAATGTGCCATCAGTGCAGGAAAAGACCAGGGTCGGGGTCTGTGTGTGTCGATGCATATCCATACCTCTCAACAGGTATTCTCAGAGCAAAGGCATTTCAAAGCATCGGGTTTCCTTCTGCAAGCATGAGCGCTACCGGAATCCGCCTGCGAGAACGTTGCTTGTCAAGCCAGCAGGATTGATGTGTGACTCTGTTCTGCGTCTTTTCAATGATCTTGCCATCACGAGGTCACTAACCGCGCAGGGTGCATGGGTGGGGGACAGCATCTGTCCTCAAAGCGCAGAGAGGACAGGGAGAGGGGGTGTAAGATGTAACTGCAAACCCCAGAGAGAGTGATCAAGCTTCCTGCCTGAGAGGGCTCTGGGGATACTGGGATGCGCTGCCGGGGAGTCTGGGGGAGAAGGGGTCCCCTTCCTGACAGAAGGCACGGGGCCGCCTCTGGGGCAGCTGGGGAAGGTCTGCAGAGGCAGCGGGAGGCACTGGACGTGCTATGAGAGCCGTTCCGCCTGGAAGACTCGATGCTGTGTGTGGCTCCAAGAACGAGCAGGGGCCAGGTTGCCTGCCCATGGCTCTTCCTCACTTTGAACCGGGTCTTATTTTAACCTCAGATGACAAGGATCCTAATAATGGCAACCTCTTTGGCGAGGGGTGGGGCGCAAAATAGGGCATGGAGGAAGTAGAGAAGCTCTGGACTGCAGATGACAATTCCTCTCCAACTATGTCCAGGAAACTCACCCAAGTTCTCATCTGATACCCTCACTTCCTGCGCGCTCACCCTCCTTTCGCATACATGCTGTGGCCTGGATGCAGCAGAATGGGCGCCATGACCTCCAAGGTTTGCCCTCTCTTACTCCCTACAGTAGGGGAGGAGTGATAATCCAGTGAAATCGGGCAGCCAAGCCAAAGCAGCTCCTTGCTGTACAATGCCTTCCAGCCTCCTGTCCTCTGAGAGTATTTAAAGCAGAGGTTCCCCCAAGTGACTATAAATGCCGTCCTGCCCGGAGCCTTCGGATTCCTGAACCGTTGGAATGTTCCTAAATCTGAAACCAGAGAGAGCCATATCAGAGTGCAAATATTTTTGGCATATGTGAACCATCGAGTTACAAAATGACCTGACACCCTCTGCTACCCTCAGGGGCCCCGGCCTGCAAGACAATCCCTCATCTGTTGCAAATACCTTCGTCTTCAACATACCTCTCTATTTGCAGACGTATCCATCTATGGCTAGATCTGGGCTGAGGGCTTCTGAGCTGAAGATGGAGACTGGCGATCTAAGGGAGAGACACCCCACTGGCCACCTCCTCTGCCCAACAGATGTCAAATAGGTTATTTGCCGGGCAAGGAGCGAAAGGCCGCACCGAGGAGAGCAAAGACGGAAGATTGAACAGACAGTAGGAGGAGCGCAGCAGCGTGTGTGGTCACAGTTGGGCCCTGAATGTGTTGGAAGAGGAGGCACATCGGCTCATCTTGGAATACTGAAGTGTGAGTCTGCTTGGAGGAGGGGACAAAGCTCATTTAGGAATTCTTGTCCCCCGGTGCAAACAGTCTCTTTAACAGGGTGCGTCAGAAACAGAAGCCCTTAGACCCTGAGGTGCAGATCAGTTCTCAACAGAGCTGCGTTTGACTGCCATCTGGAGAAGAAAGGAGAAGAAGGTTTTAGGCCTCATAGCATTATTCTTCCTGTGTGTTACCTGGCATGAGAGGAGGTGGTTTTCTAAAGAGAGTCTTCAAGGCCTTGGATGGTTAGATCTTTCCTGCATCTCTCTAGAGGCTCATAAAATTGCTCAAATCCTGACAAGGAGTTTCCTCCGATGTCCACTCCCAGTTTTCATGCTAGGAGCGAGAAGGAGAAGCTGCAAAATGCCCAAGATCGTGCAGGCTTGACATTCAGCCGCTCTGTAGTGGTACCGGCATGGGTGTCTGTTCTGTTACCAGAGCCTATGCTGGACTGTTGCTAAGTATTTTGAATATTACCCCGGGATGTAGGGAAGTATGGCTGATTCCTTAAAATCCTTCCCAGGCAAAGGAATTCTCTCAAGGGCTTTCTCTTTTCCCTACAAGTGATTTGGGTTTCTGATAGCCAATCCCTATCAAACCCACAGAAGTGGATTAAGAGACGGGAACAGAGTAAGACCAGCAGAAGGCACTTCAGCCCCCTCTCTCCTGTTACTGCATGTCTGCCCAGGTATGGAAAGGTGTTTCCTACCTGGTCACATGCCTGCTGAGTCCCGAACTCAGCCCCAGTGAATCCCAAAGACCTCAGAAGACGTTTTCATGGGCGTAGGAGTGAGTGCATACTACCTTCCCACTGAGGAGGCACTAGGAGTGACTAGAGTCCACCCCCACCCCAGATCCTAAGCAATGACCCTGGTTAATAGAGTTCTGTAGCTAAGTGGCGTCTCATCCATCTGGAGCCTTCTTTGGCAGCTGCATGCAGATCTGGGGTTCCAAGAGCCCAGAGGCTGTTTTATTCCTTGTCAGGAGCACATGATAAGGCAAAGAACAGCAGATCTGTGCACCCTTTAAGACGAAATTCTCAGCTGGGAAGAGGTGAGCTCAGGAGCAGTGGGGGAGCCCAGGCCCCTTGCAAAACCTCTGCCCTTTTCAGGGCAATAGATGGACCTCGTAGGAAACCAGCAAATTCCAAAGGCCGTGTTCAAACCATTGATTATGTCTGTCTCATCATTCACTACCTTCTAACACCCCTTCCCTTCCCACTTCCCATACGGTTTTGAACCTCCCTGGAAAGCAGCATATCATTTTGTAATTAATACCCTGCCATTACCCTCCACAGCCTTCCCGTCTGCCACCGCATCCCACAATACCTCCAACACACTCGCCAAGCCCTGGGTCAGGGCCATTCCGCAGCCCAAGAGAGACATCGTTCTCTTTGCCATCTGATTCAGGGGACAAACCTCTTTAGACATACAGAGGCCTCCCCAGGCCAATAACTTCAGTCCTGACATTCTCTTCTAACTCCCTGTCCCCTCCTGGGAAGGTTGGAATTCTTCCCATGATGGCTCCGGGCTCCCTTCTCGTCCCAGACCTCAGATCCTCCAAGTTCTCATTCTGTGTGAGTCTTGAAGGAAGAAGGAAATAGGAGAGCCCATGAGTTTTAGTTCTCTTCTCTCCGTTGAGAGGGGAGACGTCCATTGCTGTAGCCCATACTGGTCCATGGCCACCGTGGCAATGTATCGACCTCCAAGACACCAGGATCTGCCTGCTGCTTTTTGCCCCCTTATGTCCCCTTTCATGTGGACACAAGCTTTTTCCCAAAAGACTCCGGGCTGGTGGTCACTAAGGAGACATTGTCTCTGCCTGCCACTTTTGTGCTTGCAAAGAGGGTCTCTGACATTTGCTCCTCCCCTGCAAGGAACCAGTCACTCATTCTGCTACCTCCCAGAAAAATTCCAAAGATAGGAATGTTTGGGACAAGGCCAGACGGAAGGAGAGAAATGCTCCAACCTGTGCTTACACCTGAGTCAGCGAGTCCTCCTCCCAGGACAGGTGGAGGCGGGTGTGATCATGTCCCAAACAGCTTCTCGATCGAGTCCATCCTGCAGATAGCCAACCTGGAACCATGTTTGAATACCTCATCGAACTACTGAAATTCCGGCGTCAGACGACTGCGTCCTCATGTGGTTTTCTCTTTCTGTCCAACGACAAGTACCTCAGGCTGGGTCCCAGCGCGGAGCTGTCCACAAGCTTAGGCACAGCGGGTAGGAAAACCCAGACGCTGTTCGGTCACGTGCTTGTGAAACGCGATGCTTCTGGTTTTTAAACTACGTATGTGCTATGCACAAACCATATCATGTTCCAGCAAAAAGTTAAAGGTCTTTTTATACGTTTCTCTAAACTTTTTGACTCCACCCCTCCTATTAAAACTGACAACAAATCTCTGGGTTGTGTGGCTGCTTCTTCCTCTTGATTCCTTCCGACCACCTGGGGAGGCAGGTAGAGGGGAACAGAGAGGGCACATTTGCGGTGCTGTTGATTACAGCACGAAGAAGTCCTTGGCTCACTCAGTCCAACCGTCCTGTCTACGAGTGGGAAATTTGACCCTGGAAGAGAACGGAAGTGACCTAAGACCACAGTGAGGCATCAGCCCTCCTCCTCTTCTAGAGGCTTTGGCCAAAGCTGGAGATATGAGAGGGGACCCAGAAAACCCAGAATTATCTTTTGGAGGATGGGCCCTTTGTCGTAAGGCATTCTGGTAAGAGTTCCAGGAACCCATCGACTTCAGTGTACCAGCTAGTGTTGTTATGAGAGGCTGCATGCAGCTTTTGTAAATTTTTTTTTGGAGATTCTTTCAACACGTTTGCCCATGTCATGATGGGCGAGTTACCAGCACATCTACCCACAGTGTGCTTAGCGTTCAGCAGTTTTTGACCAAAAACAGCAGGACCTCCATTCCCACCCTCCCTAGTCACCCGATCTCACCCTGAGTGACTTTTTGTTGTTGTTGTTTCCCTGAATGAAAAATATCCTCAAAGGGAAACGTTTTGCTGATGTGGAAGATGTGAAACAAAAAAACAGTAGAAGTACTAAAAGGAAGGCATCAAAATGAGCCAGTTCAAAAACTGTTTTGAGCAGTAGAAAAAGCATCTCAATAGGTGTATTGCATCAAGCAGAGAGTTCTTCGAAGGTGACTGAAGTTTAAATATGTGAGAATAAATACACATTATTTTATAAATCAATTCCAGGTTTTCTGGTTCCCTCTCACCCCATTATATACATTTCTGCGACTGTAGAATTCATGCATTCTTATACTCACCCATCAAGAAATATTTACTAAACTCCTCATCCCTGTCC